TCTGGTGGAGGTTGTTTGGTTGGAGCGGTTGAAAGAGGCTCGGTATAAGCCGCCTTCAAACGATTGACTGAGACCGCGTCGGTGCGGTCGACCCCGGGCAATCGTAAAATGCTTTTCCATGCGAGATAGCACTCTAAATGGTCCGTCGTAGAGCTGTTGTAGTGGTCGACGAACACTATCACGGGGTAAATACTTGTCAGAGGAAGTGGAAAGGGCATAATTAAGAGGTTTGTAGTTAGTATAGATACGAAAAACTCTATCTTTAATAAACTTACGGAGATGTTTATTGGCTAAATAAATGGTAAGCAGTTCTCTACCAAAAGTGCTATAGCGAGTTTGTGGTGGTGTCCATTTGGCAGAGTAGAAAGCCAAGTGCTGGATGCCCGTGGGTGTGTGTTGCTGAAGGGCGGCACCTATGGCGCAATTGGTGGCATCGGCAACAATGGAGAGCGGAGCATCAGGTATAAGGTGAACGAAGGCAGTTGCACTTGCAATAACTTTACTGACGCGATTGAAAGCCTCCATGATTGTGTCAGGAAAAGAAAACTCGGGGGTGCTTCCGCGCAAAAGGTTAGTAAGTGGTAACCTCAATTCAGCGCAATGCGGAATGAAGCGTTGATAGAAATTGACAAGGCCTATAAAACGGTGCAGATGTTAAAAAGATGGGGGAGTAGGGAATTCGCGAATACCTGAAACTTTGGCATATATGGGATGACAACCAAAAGCATCTACAAGATGTCCTAGGAAAAGCAGTGACGGTGCACCAAAAACACATTTCGAAGGCTTAATAAAATACCAAATTGGCTCAATCGCTCAAAAACGAGGCGTTGATATTGTAGATGTTTGTGCTCACTGGAACTTGCTACCAGCACATCATCAACATAGACAAAAACGAAGAGTAAGTCGCGGAGGACCTCGTTGATGAAACGCTGAAAATTTTGGGCAGAGTTGCGTAGTCCAACGGGCATCCTAACAAACTCGAAAAGACTAAATGGTGTAGTAATCACCATTTTCGCAATGTCTTCTGGATCAACGGTTATCTGATGGAAAGCTTTGACTCAGTGAACTACTGGAAAACACTGTTGCTCCTGCTAGTCTATATGGAAACTCGTGGATATAGGGAAGTGGATAGCTGTGAGGCACAGTGCAGGTGTTAAATCGTTAGTAATCCCTGCATAAGCGCCAGTCAACGAGCGACCTTTTACACACCATATGTAAAGGTGCAGCTCATGGACTAGTGGAAAGCCTAACCATGTCTAGCTCCATGATGTGACTGAATTCAGCCTTAGCGACAGCTATCTTGTCGGCGGCTAAACGATGATGAGGATGACTAAAAACGGGTGGTCCGGAAGTCGAAATATAGTGTACGACAGAATGTTTAATGAGTTGGTTAATTTTTGAGGGTCGTGTGATAGAAGAAAAGTCCGAAAGTAAACGATGAATAGGGAGTACACGAAGAGATTGCTGAAATACGTTGGTAAGGGAATGAAAGGGTACGAGTAGAGCATTAACAGTACAAATATGTCTTAGGGTCAACCAGTTTATCGGTCTTGGTGTCAACGAAAAGACTGAAAAATGATAGAAAATCAGCGCCTCTCATAAATGTATAGTGGACGACTGGGAGAGGATGGGCCAACCACGTTCGGCGTCCTTACTGGTCGGCGGAGAAGTTTTCCGATGCAGGCTTCTTGTACTTGCACGGAGATTGACAGCGATGGGCATTTGGACCATAATTGTGGTGGTACCAGCAGAAACCATCAGTTGTAGGTTGGTTTGGAGTGGGAGATCTCGGGCGACAAAAAGTCGAAGGACTACGAGGGTTGTAGACACGAGTGGCCCGGAGCTGGGGATCTTCGAGGGTGAGGGCATCCAGGCGTCTGACGACATCTGCGACGGTAGATGTCGTTGCGACCCGAGTAGAAACATTTACCGAGCCTGGCGTTTGATAATACTCAGGTATCCGGTCACTTATCTCAGCCAGCCTTTGAACTGACGAGGAAGGGATGTTGGGTGCATGGAGAACTTGCACCGAGGAGGACAGCCGCTGGAGGAAAAGCTGCTTGAACATGGGGCCGTTCAGCTATTGTCCTATAGGAGTTAAGGTTAAGATGGTTAACCCTAACAGCTACAATCCCTCAGGCCCTGGTTCCTTAGGAGATAGGAGAAGTCTTGGGAAGGCCAGAGTAG